TACAATGGTTTCTACCAGTTTCGCAACCGCAAGCTGGGCTCGCTGTTCGGGATCGACTTCGCCGAGCGCGCTGACGTCTGGGGGGTCAGTGAGATCTTCGACGAGGAGCGGGAGTGTTTCGTGCCGGTGGGACCGGACGAGATGCTCTTCCCTGTCTTCGAGGGGCTGCCCATGGGGTGGTCCTGGGCGCTCCACTTCTGCCGCGCCATCACCTCCGAGGCGGGCAGGACGGAGACGAGCCTGCTGCAGGACCGGCACGCGCCGGAGGCGCCGCGGCCCGAGCTGGCCTACCGGTTGCCGTACGTCGACAACGCCAACGTCATCGGGCTCAGCCGAGCCGCCACGCAGCGCGCCCTGGACGCCGTCAAGGGCGACCTCGACAAGAGCGGGCTGCACTACCACGAGGAGAACTCGCCCGCCGAGACGCTCGAGCTGCTGGGGGTGGAGTTTGATGGCCGGCGTCGTCTGCTACGTCCTAAGCCTCGGCGCATTTGGCGGCTCCACTTGGCGCTGCGCGCCGTGCTGCGCCGAGGCCGCTGCAGCGGGTTCGTCCTGCAGGTTCTGGTCGGCCACATCGTACATCACTGCCAGCTGCTGCGCTTCGGGCCCTCGGCGCTCGACAAGGTATGGTCCTTCATGTCCGAGAGCGGCGGCAAGGAGGTTCGCCTGTGGGCGTCCGTCCGGTGGGAGCTGGAAGTGTCCTCCTGGCTCGTCTTCCTGGCCGAGGCCCGTCTCAGCGCAGAGCCTGCCAGCGTCGCCTTTTGCGGCGACTCCTCTGCCGTGGGCTACGCGCTGCACGTCGCCTCCGTCTCGGGACCCGAGTTTCGGGCCGTGGCGCGCTACCGAGAGCGGTGGCGCTTCGACGCGGTCGAGCGGAGCGACGATGGCTGGGGGGCCGTGGGCGGCTGGTCGGCCGAGTGGCGAGCCTCGCCAGACCCGGCAGGGTCTCTCGGTGGCGGCCCTCGCGATCTCGGCGGCGGACCTGCGGTTGGCTGCCGGCCGTGGTGCGACATCGAGACCGTGGATCGGCCAGCCGAGGAGGTGGGGATCCCGCCGCTGCCGGACGCGCTGCTCGCGAGCAAGCGCTGGGCGATGGTCATCAAGGGCGCGTGGCAGCACGACGGGGTCATCCATGAGAAGGAGGGCCGCGTGCTGCTCATGGGCCTGGTGCGGGCCTCGAGGTGTGTCGGCCTTCGCGGGAGGAGAGTTCTCTCGATCGGGGACAACCTCTCGAGCCTCTGCAGCTTCGAGAAGGGGCGCTCGGGCAGCTTTGCCCTTCGGCGCCTGTGCCAGCGCGCCGGGGCCCTCTCCATCGGCTGCGAGCTCGACTGGTCCCTTCGCTACGTGGAGAGCAAGAGGAACCCGACCGACTTCGACTCGAGGGCGGCCGATCGAGGCGAGCTGCCTGCCGGGACCTCTGTCGCTGGCCGGCACGGCCGGGCGCTGCTTCAGCGATGCTCGCAGGTCCCCGACTCGCCCCCAGCCCGAGCCAGCGCTCGGATCCGCCGACCGCCGCCTTCGCGGTCGGGGCTGGGGCGAATGGGGCCTCGGCAGACGCCCGCAGCCCCCCCGACCCCGACGAGGGTTCGGACTCCGCCTGAACGGCGGTCACCTCTTGGGCGCATGGGGCCTCGCGCGCATTTTGCCGCTCCACGCAGCCCAGGCGCGGCGCGGCCCCGCCGACGCACCCGCCAGCGGGGCCCGCGAGCACGGACTGAGCAGCACAGAAAAAGCAACAGCCCTGTCGTCAAGACGTCAGCTCAGCATCAGTTCGCCCTGGAGATATTCGCCGGCTGCGCCGCCTTCTCCGCCGCCTGTCAGGGAGGCCGACCTCAACATCGGGTGCCCCATCGAGATCTCGAGGGGCCCCCACATGGACGTCTCGAGGCAGAGGACCCAGAGGCACATCAAGGGCTTGGTCAAGCAGGGGCTCGTGTGGTACCTCCACCTGGGGACTCCGTGTACTACTTGGTCGAGGGCCCGCGCGACGGGCTCGAGTTCAGCCGCTCTTGGGGGCCTCCAGTTGGCCAAGTTCTCGTTGGGGCTCATCAAACTCTGCAAGCAATACGGCGTCCTCTACTCACTCGAGAACCCGCGTTCCTCGAGGCTCTTCTCCTGGAAGCCCCTTAGGAAGGAGCTGCAGAGCCAGAACGCGATCTTTGTCCGATACGATAACTGTGCGTACGGTGCGGGATATCTCAAGCCGACCCTCCTGGCCACCAACTTGCAGGCCCTTCAGGGGCTACATCGTCTATGCCCAGGAAACCATCATCATGGGGTTCTTGAAGGGAAAGCCCTTCTGCCTCCAAGGCCCTGCGAGGCTCGGGGGCGGTGGGCCTGGAAGACGACTCTGGCAGGGCGCTATCCTCCTCGACTTTGCCGCTCCTGGGCAGCCATCTTGGCCCGGGCGGCTCCAGACACGGCCCGCGGGGCCGATGCCACTTCGCTGGAGCGATGGGAAGCTGACTTGGCGCGAGCCGGAGGCTGCCCGATCCCGTCCGACGTCTTCAGGCTCCACTGCCCCAGGTGCTACCAGAGCCCGTGGAAGGACGCCGTCAAGCACTGGGGCCAGCGCGTGGTCTGGGTCGGCCCTCGGCGCGGAGCTACCAGATCGAGATCGGCGACGTGCTGCTAAGGCGGCCTGCCGACGGGCCGCCGCGGGACACGACCCCGGCGACAGGTTTCTGGAGCGCAAGACCGTCGGGAAGGGGACGCTCGTCAACTACGAGTCGTGCTCCTCAGACTTCGTCCACTGGGCTAGCCAGCAGGCCCCGCCCCGGGCGCTGGCTCCTCTCGAGCAGCCGCGACCCGTGCCCTTGGGAGGTGTTCGCCGCGATCGCCGACCACTGGCTCGAGCTGGGCACGACCGAGTCCATCCTCGCCGCTGCCTGCGGCGCCTTGCAGTTCGACACCTACCTCCGTCCAGCGGCTGCGGTCAACCTGCCCCTCGAGCACGTGGTGTTGCCCTCGGGCAGGGCTGGCGACCGCTATGACAAGGTGGCGCTGATCGTGGCCCCTTCGAGTGGCACAGCACCTCGGCCTAGCAAGAATCAGCAGTTTGACGACACCGTGATGGTTGGGTCTATCGACCGATCTCGTGGTTGGCTTCGGCAGCTTGTTCGACAGCTAGTTGCCAGAACCAGAGCGCGTCGGGTCCAGCGCCTGTTCAACGAGCTCCCGCTGTCCACCTACGAGCGCCTGTTCCGCGAGGCCAGCCACCGACTAGGGCTGGCAGCGCTGAGAGTGTCGCCGCACACGCTGCGGCACGGCGGCCCTTCCCTCGACTACCTGAACGGCCTCGCCACGCTTCCAGTGCTGAAGAAGCGCGGCGGCTGGCTCAGCGACCGCTCCGTGGCGAGGTACGGCAAAGAGGGTCGACTCCTGAGGCAAATCAGCCGCCTCTCTCCTGAGCAGCCGCAGCAGTTCAAACGTGCCGCCAATCGCCTCGAACAGAAGCTGCTTCGAGCCACAGGAGTGCGCTTCCAGACTAGCGCTTGATCACAGCATTCGACGGCCAGACCTCCGACCGGAAGGAAATTCGAAGAGAGTTTTTACGATCTTTTTCTGAGAATTGTGCCCATCCAGCCCACCCGTGAATCATAATATGGGTTATGGGTGACGGCTGCTGAATCTTTCCAAATCGTCTGCTCGTCTACTCTTCGGGGCTCCCGGGAGCCTTTGAATCGTCTAGCCTCTCTGAGGCTGCAGGCGTGTTTGTATTCAGCCAGCCCTTCTTCTAGCGAGATTGCCTCGTGGAGGCGACCAGTTGCCAGATCTGGAGTGATATGTAAAAGAGATCGGCGAGAGCTCCGGGGCTTCCCTCCTCTCTCGCCTCTCCCTCGCGCCTTCTGGTCAGGCCCTCGGGTGGAGCATCTATTCATCAGTTGCACGATTGTAGATTCGGAGTACAGTTTCTGACCCGTGGTGACACCTCGTGTCTCCACCGCCTGTGGGAGGGTTGTGAATGTCTTGATGCGTTCCCTCTCCTCCCCTGGCTTCCTCCTTAATCGTATTGGCTCACAGTGACCCGTCCCGCCCTGCCCTGTGTAAAAAGGTGGGTTTTTTCCTTGGTGACGGCTGCTGAATCTTTCCAAATCGTCTGCTCGTCTACTCTTCGGGGCTCCCGGGAGCCTTTGAATCGTCTAGCCTCTCTGAGGCTGCAGGCGTGTTTGTATTCAGCCAGCCCTTCTTCTAGCGAGATTGCCTCGTGGAGGCGACCAGTTGCCAGATCTGGAGTGATATGTAAAAGAGATCGGCGAGAGCTCCGGGGCTTCCCTCCTCTCTCGCCTCTCCCTCGCGCCTTCTGGTCAGGCCCTCGGGTGGAGCATATATATATATATATATATATATATATATATATATATAGATATATATATATATATATATATAGATATATATACATATATATATATATATATATATATATATATATATATATATATATATATATCCCCGTACACGAGGCCCGGGCGCCCGGGGCCTGGGGCCCGGGGGGGGGCATGCGAGGACCGGGGTCTCCCAGCCCGTTCTCAGAGCACCCCGGAGCGGCCATGGAGCTCCCAGACTGCTCCCTAGAGCTCCCAGAAGTCCTCGGGGACTTCGACAAGCCCCTCCAAGACAGCCCAGATAGCCCCAACGTGGCCCAAGATGGGTTCGATACTGCAAATACACAGCCCAAGAGGCCTCCAAGAGGCTTCAAGGTAGCTCCGCGAGGCGTCTCGAGAGAGCCCGAAGAGGCCCACATCCTTGATTTTCATTTGTTTTTTTGTTTTAATGTTTTTCGGTTTCTCGCGTTTTCGATTTTCCCACGCTCCAAAACGGCTGACGAGGCCCCCAAGACCGCTCCAAGACCGCCGAAGAGGCCCCCAAAAGAGCCCCGAGACGGCACCAGGGAGATAAAAAATTGCCCAGAGGAGCCCCAGACGGCCCAAGAGAGCCCCAGGACAGGCCCAAGCTGAGCCACGAGCGGGAGCGGGAGGCGCCAAGGCGCTCCAAGACGGCCCAGATGGCCCCAACGTGGCCTCAGATGGGCCCAACACGGCCAATACACAGCCCAAGAGGCCTCCAAGAGGCCTCAAGAGAGCTCCGAGAGGCGTCCCGAGAGAGCCCGAAGAGGCCCACATCCTTGATGTCCGGTCGTTTTTTCAATGTTTGCTTTCTCGCGTTCTCGAGCTTCCAACGCTCCAAGACGGCCGAAGACGCCCCGAAGATCGCCCCAAGACCGCCGAAGAGGCTCCAAAAAGAGCCCTAAGACGGACCCGGAGAGCCTGAAGACTGGCCAAGAGCAGCCCAGGACTGCCCAAAAGAATCCCAGGAGAGGCCCAAGATGGGCCCCAGAGCGGGAGCGGGAGGCCCCAAGGCGCTCCAGGACGGCCCAGATGATCCCAACGTGGCTTCAGAGGAGCTCCTTCCAAGAAGAGGCCCCAAGTGGAGCTCTGAGAGACGTCCCGAGAGAGCCCGAAGAGGCCCAAATCATTGATTTGATTTGTCGTTTTTTTTGTATTTTCCGCTTTTGGCGTTTTCGACCTTCGACGCTCCAAGACGGCCGACGAGGCCCCCAAGACCGCCCCAAGACCGCCGAAGAGGTTCCCCAAAGTGCCAGGGAGCCCGAAAATTGCCCAGGAGGAGCCTCAGACCGCCCAAGAGGCCCCAGGACAGGCCCAAGATGGGCCACAGAGCGGGAGCGGGAGGCCCCAGGGCGTTCCGGGCCTCCCCCCTCCATCCTTCCTTCCCTCCCGCCCCCTCCCCTTGCCTCCATTCCCTCTCTCTCCTCGTCCTCCCCTCACCCCTCAGCTTTCGTGCTCCTCCCTCCTCTCCTGGCACGGCCCCGCCACAGCGTCAGACAGGCCCCGCCAGAGCGAGCGGGGCATCGCTATACCCTATATATCATTTCACAAGTTGCTGTGCCTCTCCCACCCCTCAAGGGCGGCCCCGGCAGAACGAGAGGGGTTTTGCTACACCGCATGCAGTCCCTGTTCTTTCTTGTTCCTCCCACCGCACACGATGTAGCCCCATCGGAGCGCCCGGTGCGCAAAAGCATCGAGTGTCACGACGGTGCAGAGCGGAAGTGGAAGTGTGGACGAAATCCAGTTCCACACGCCAGACAAAGGCGGCAGCGAGATTGTGAGATACGTGGGAACGTAGCGCCCCGCGTTCTGACTGCGCGTTTCTTTGCGTCGATGGCATGGGCCCGAGAACGCTGGAAATCGTCGTTGTGGCCACAGCGGGGCTTACAGCGGCACCCGTGGCTCATCTGCGACTAGAACCTCGGCGCGCGCGTGGCGCGCGCGTGGTTCTAGTATACACATATCATATCATATATATATATATATATATATATATATATATATATATATAGATGTACGTGTGTATGTATGTATGTATGCATTCATGCATGCATGCATGCATGCATGTATGTATGTATGTATGTATATATATATATATATATATATATATATATATGTATATAGCACCGGTGTGTCTTTGTGCGTCCCGACCCTGCCCAGACCCCCTCGCGCCGTGACACAACTCACGACGGAGGTTTTTCGTTACCTTCGGCCTCCTGGGGCCCTTACCTGGCCTCGGGACCGTCAGACATCGGCCACGCGCAGGAAGGGGGCAGGGGGAGAGGGGGACGACTTCTTAGAAGGAGGCTGCTTGTTGGAAGGCGCGAGCCTTCTCTATAGATCCAAGGCCGGCGCCTTCTGAGAAGCAGCCTCCTTCTAAGATGCCTCCCCCCCTCCCCCTGCCCCCGTTGTGCGCGCCGCCCAATAAAAAACGGGTCCCCGTCTCTTGAGCCCCGATGGGGCATTTGGGGGCCCTTCGGGGCCTCGGGACCATCAGAATACCGCTCGGGATGCAAAACTGGCCCCTTGGGAGCCTCCAGGGTCGACGCTACGAAAAAATCATGACGTCGGGGGTCTGGGATCCTGGCCTCCCAGATGGGGTGTGAGTAGGTGTGGTCGGAGGATCGCGCTGATGCGGTGCGATGTTGAGCTGGGTTTTCTCCACGCCGGCGACGCCGATGCATCGCCGGCGTCGCCGATGCATCCCCGATGCATTGGCGATGCATCGGCGATGCATCGGCGATGCGGCGCGATTTTCCGACCTCATCTACCTGGGCCCCAAGTAGGAGGCCTCTAGACACGCCGCCCTGGCTGCAGTCAGAGCGTTCGGACGTCTTTGCCAGCTTCTGGAGACTATCCTGTCTCGGGATGCGTTCCAGCAGGTTCGCCTCGCCGAAGGCGTTCTGGGGGTGCCCGGGTCGTCCCGGACGTCCGCCGGAGGCCGGAGCAATGGCCAGAAAGCCGAGCGACACCTCCCCGGAGTGACCTTTGGTGCGCGGTTCTGTTCGCTTTCTGTTCGAAGGCCTGGTGCTTCTTCAGCACTGTAGCACGCTGGCGGGTGCCCCACGGCGGCGTGTCATTCATCCTGCTTCTGCTTTTCGCTGCTCTCGGCGCCCCTCTCGTCAGGGCTGGCCTCAGCGTTCGGGGCGCGCGCGCAACGGGGGGTCGGCGCTGACCCTGGTTGGGGGGCCACCGGGGACAGAGTATGACCATGAACCTGCAGTGGAAGCCCATGCCAAGAACCACCCTGCGAGAGAGGCTCCCAAGGCGAAACATGTGTCAAACACGACGACACCCAACAGGCAGCGCCGCAGCTCTCCTTCGGACCGCGGGGCAGGCCGACAATGAAAAGCGGGCCAGGCAAGGGAAAGAAGCAGGCAGGAAAGCGAAACGGCCGAGGAGCGAGAGGTGGAGAGGGAAGGAGGGCGACAGGGAAGGACAGACCAGGCCGACAGACGGACGGACGGGGGGGACGGGGAGAAGAAGCCAAGCAAGGAGGCAGATGGAGAAACACCCTGCTTGCCTCCAGGGTGCCTTAGGGTTTCTGAGTGTCCATTGTTTTTTTATAAGGAAAGCGTGACGTTCCCACACCAAAAACCAATGGACGTCCTGGGGTCTCGGGGTTGGATTCTGTGTGGAAGGCTTCTTGTGGAAGGTTTCTTGTGGTCGAGCTCCTACTGTAGGTTCGCTATCAGCGCAGCGCGCAGTGCAGTGGACCCTTTTTTCGAGGTATGCTTGCGAGCGTGAGATGTTCACTGTGTCTCGGGCGAAGGCCCGCAGATGTACCTCAGTGTGCAGTCGACCCGCGTAATTAGGATGGGCGACCTTCCCAAGTGTGCGCTTGCACCCGTGCCTCCTGGGTCCATCCTTGGCCACTTTCGTTGGCCGCGCTCCGCTCGATGAGCTTCGCCATGGGCGTCCAAGGCCCTTGCATCCTTACCGCGCATCCTTCTGATACGGGCTGGATGTACAGTCGGCCCGGATTAGTAGGTCGACCCTGCCAGCTCAAGGGCACCCTTGTGTCTTGTGCCTCGCGACACGTGCCTTCTTACACTCCTATCGCGATGTGGCCCTCGGAAAGTCTTGTGTCCTCTCGCGTGTCCTCTCCAATCAAGTCCGACTGTATTCCTGTGCGGCTCCCACCCGGGGGGGGGGGGAGGGTCGGCCAGTGCCCCTCCGATTCCCTCCGTGGCCTCCCTGGGTCTGGGAGGCACTCGTGGCCCTCCCGCTGGCCCCGGCTCGGGGGCTGCCGCGTGGCCCGCCGGGGTCGCGCCGTGGCCCTGCCTCGGCCCAGGGGCGGCGCGTCCCCGACGACGCCGTGCCTCGATACCCTTGGACGGCTTGCACTTCTCATTCTCGATCTTGGCCTGACGACGACGACGACAATGGCGACGACCACGACGGCGGCGGCGGCGACGACGACGACGACGACGACGACGACAATTGCGACGACGACGACGACGGTGACGACGACGACGACGACGGCGACGACGACGACGACGACGACGACGACGACGACGACGACGACGACGACGACGACGACGACGACGACGACGACGGCGCCGCAGGCGCCGGCCGACGCGCCCTGCCTGGCCGCCGCGTGCCCGCGGCAGCCGCCCGGCCGGGGCGCGGCGGCCCCCGGAGGCGCGGCGGCCTCCGGGTCGGCGCGCCGCCGCCGCCCGCCGCGGCCGAGAGCCCGCCGCCGCCGCCGCCGCCCGAGGCCGACGATGATGAGCCGCCGCCGCCGCCGCCGCCCAAGGCCGACGATGACGACGGGCGGCGGCGGCGGCGACGGCGGCGACGGCGTTCGTCGGCCTCTCTTGCGGTCCACCTGTGGGCCCCCTTCGTCTCCACGGCTGAGTCCGCCCCGAAGTCCTGGCTGGAGCGCGCCGCCCCAGGAGGGGGCTGGGGCGGAGGTGGGCGGCGGCGGCGGCGGCGGCAGTGGCGGCGGCGGCGGTGGCGGCGACTGGAGCGGCGAGGCCAGCAAGGGCGTCGGGAGCGAGGCTTGTGCCGCCCGAGGCGCAGGGAAGTGGCCACTACCAGGGAGAGGAAGGAACGAGTGAGCGAGGAGGGCAGTCCTGGATGTACGTAGAGGCCGCGGGCTAGCTAATTTCTCGCACCCCATAACCTGGGGGAGCGGGGTCTCGCCAATGCGGGCGTCCCGCCTTGCAGCGTCTGAAGGGGGGGACGGCGGATAGCCGCGACACTGAGGTGCAGGAGGAGACGCTGAGTGAGCCTCGCGGGAAGCCTCGTGAGGGGCCCCCAACCTCCCCCCACCCGCAGTTTGTTTTTGGCCGCCAGGCAGGGCGAAATGCAAATGAGCGACGCAAGAAAACGGGGTCGTCTGCGCCGACATTGGCGCGCAAGCTGCCCGCGTAAGGTCGCACGTAAGCACCCTCGTCTTCAATGCAGCGTTCCGCGCTGGCGGCCCGCGTGAGCCGCCGCGTAAGGTCGCTAGTTCCTTTCGCGTGAGACTCGTTTCTGACTGTCGCTCAGATAATATTGCTAAGACGGTTTTCTTCGAAGAAGAAAACAAAGCCAGACACATAAATAGTTGGCGCTCCGCGAGGATTTCTTGGATCCGCGCTGCCACCCCCCCCTTGGCGGCGCCTCCGGCGCCGCCCCTGGCGCGCTCCGCGCGCCAGGGAGGGGGGTCCAGCGCAGATCCCAGAAATCCGCGCGGAGCGCCAACAGTTTCCATGCGTATGCAGTTCTTTTCCTTCTTCCCCCTTGAGAGCTGCAACCGAGCATTTTCTTTGGGTGGAGGGCAAAGGGTGAAATCTGAAATGCCGTTTCGATTGCTTGTCGAGGCTTGGATCTGCAAAAGGTGCATCACAAGACGAATTGCTTTGCGAGGTGCAAAAGCCCATACGGATATCACCCTGAGGCCTCCACCCGAAGAAAATGCTCAGTGCAAGGCCCCTTAGTTGCCTCGATACGCCCGTTTTGAGACGCAACACGTCCCGTGTTCAAGACGTCCGTGTCAATACGATGCGTGTTGGCTCCACGTATTGGACCACGTTTTGCCGAATGTGTCGCGTCGGACCCGCGTTTTCAGCCTACGTGTTGAGCTCCGTATGAATACGATACGTGTTGCGTGCGGCGCGTCGGGGCAGCAAAGTGCGAGGCCCACCGCTGTGGCGGCGCTGCGGAGCGTGGCGCCTCCTCCCCGCCGGGTCGATCCGCCCCCGCCCGCAGTTGCGCCGCCGGCCCCCGCCGAGGGCCCGCCCTCGGCCCGCGAGCCGCCGCGGCCCGCCGGCGCGGACGGCCCCGCCGCGGAGCGGCTGCTGCAGGCCCTGGGGGGCCTGGAGCCGCTGCTGGCGGCGCTGCCCGGCGCGTGGGAGCTGCAGGAGGAGCCCCGCCGTGGGATTGACTACGTCGGGCACGTCCCTCGCGGAGGTGTTGGCGTGCTCGTATGCGTGGGCGTTTTGCGTGTGCGTGGGCGTTTTGCGTGTGCGTGTGCGTGTGCGTGTGCGTGTGCGTGTGCGTTCGCGTGTGCGTGTGCGTGTGTGTGTGTGTGTGTGTGTGTGTGTGTGTGTGTGTGTGTGTGTGTGTGTGTGTGTGCGTGTGCGTGTGCGCTTCTAAATGCGCGCGCGCGTGTGTGTGTGTGTTTTGTGTGTGTGTGTGTGTGTTTGTTCTTCTGTGTGTGTGTGTTCGTTCTTCTGTGTGTGTTTGTTCTTCTGTGTGTGTGTGTTTGTTCTTCTGTGTGTGTGTGTGTGTCTGTGTTTGTTTGGGTGTGCGCGTGCGCGCCCGCGGCGGTAGCGCCGGCCGTGCGCCCCCTCCCCCTTCCCCGTTGTCACCGGCGCTCCGCGAGGGCGGAGTGGCTGGAGCGGACGGAGGGCCGGCCCCCGGGTGGGGCGGTGCCTCCCCCCCTCCGGAGCGCCGGCGGGGCTGGCGGGGGGGGCGCGCGGGGGCGGCAGCGGGGCGCGGGGGGACGGGCGCTGAGCAGGCGGGGAAGGGATGCGTGGGTGCGTGCTCGTTAGTGTGTGGGTGTCTGTTGATGTTCGCGCGTGCGTGTGTGTGTGTGTGTGTGTGTGTGTGTGTGTGCGTGTGCGTGTGCGTGTGCGTGTGTGTGTGTGTGTGTGTGAGTGCGTGTGCGTGTGTGTGTGTGTGTGTGTGAGTGCGTGTGTGTGCGTGTGTTTGAGTGGGGATCGTAGTGTGCAGCGGTGGCGGCGTGTGTGCGCGCGCGGCGGTGGCGGTCGTGGTTGCGTTTGCGGTGGCAATATGGGGGCAGGTGCGCGCGGCGCCCGTACGCGCGCGCGGGAGCGCGCGTGCGCGCCCGTGTGCAGAGCTGCCCTGCGATCCAGGTTTTGGGCGCTGCAATCATGTCGGGCCTGTCCCTCTACAGGAGGTATATCCAAGCATCGTTAAGAAATGGTCGGGGGACGATGTGTCTACTCTTTTTGACTTGTTCTGAGCATGTCTTGGCTTTTTTGTTTTTTCCTCCAAGATCCGCCTGTAGGAGGACATGCCCGACCTAAGACTAGACGTAGGAGTGGCCTTTCGCCAGAGTGACCTTTGATGCGGACCCAGTGGGGTCCCCCGATCGCCGAACGCGGAGCGGTGGCAGCGGCTTGCGCGCCCAGGTTCGGCCACCCCGCGTCCCCCCTGTGGAGCCGCGCACCAAAAAGGTCACTCTTGCCCAGGGTCGCTCTTGCGTTCAGCCGACCTTCGGTGCTCCCCGCAAGCTCACCGAGCTCTTCCCACTGCTCGCGAAGTGCCTGGTCGTAAACGTCCAAAGTAACAAACATGTGCCTCTCGATGCCAGGGGTTACTCGGCGTCACCCCAACATACTAATACTATGTGTGCGTCGCCACCCCCCCGGGGCGACGCGCGCACTGAGAAATCTTGTCGCATATGCATCGTGGCGGGCGTTTTCTGGCCACACTGCTCGGGAAACGATGTACTACAAGATGGGTGTACTATATGTTCGGGTCGGACGCTCGCCTCCAATGAGAACGTGTAGTGCTATTATGTCGTTGTGCGTCCCATGGGTCGTAGGTCGCCCGCGCCACTTTCGTGGAGCAATCTCAGCTATTTGCACCGGGGGCCCTGGACCGCCATGTCGTTGCGAGTGGCCTTGCGTGGAGTACGCCGTGACCAAGCGCGCGTCATTTGCACTCGTCGGCGCGCGTGCAACGTGGTCACTGCACCCTTTGAAACAATGCGTGGCCACACCTTATGTCGGGGAATCGTAAGACTCGTGTACGCCAGATCTCGGGTTTGCCGACGCTTTTTGACTCGTGCGTCCTGGATTCTGACGTCCCAGTTTTCGTGGGGAATCTGCAGCGGGAGCTCGCGTCAAATTTCACATTGGGTCTCGCCATTTTCATGATGGCCCCGTCAGGCCAACTCGAGTCCCCCGAACCCGAGTCTTACGTCGCCCCGAGTATGGTGAGTCAGTGGGAGCCTCTGCGGTGCTTTTGGGGAGCCTCTGGGGAGCCTCTGCGGCGCTTTTGCGGGGGCGATTCCCCCAAGAGCAACGCACCAGAGGTCATTCTTGGAACAGTTCACCCTTACGTAAGAGCCGAGTCGACGTCGACGTCGGGAGGGTATCGAGGATCTATGTTCTTTGGAACATTTTGGCGGCCTTCCGGCCGCTGCCGCCGACCCTGAACGACGACGACGACGACACCGACGACGACGACGACGACGACGACGACACCTACGACACCTACGACACCGACGACGACGACGACGACGACGACGACGATTGACGACGAAGACGAAGATGACGACGACGACGACGACGACGACGACGACGACGACGACGACGATTGACGACGCCGACGCCGACGGCGACGCCGACGGCGACGCCGACGACGACGACGATTGACGACGCCGACGCCGACGGCGACGCCGACGGCGACGCCGCCGCCGCCGCCGACGACGACGACGACGACGACACCGACAACACCGACGACACCGACGACGACGACGACGACGACGACGCCAAGCGCTCTCGGTGGCCTCTTCGGGGTAATTTCGGGCCTCTTGGGAGGCTTTTCGGGGGGCATCTTGGGAGCCTCGTGGGGGCCTCTTGTAGCTTCCTGGGGGTCTCTTGGGGGCCTCTTGGGGCCTCTTCGGGGGCTTCTTGTGGGTGGGGGCCTCCTGGCACAGGCCGAGGGCTCGAAATCCCCGTGTGGGTCCCCCATCGGGGTTCCTTCTTGGAGCCGTCTTGGGGGCCTCTTGGGCTGTCTTGGGGGCCTCTTGGGCGGTCTTGGGGCCCTCTTGGGTCGTTTTGGGGCCCTCTTGGATGCCTCTTTGGCGATCTCGGGGGCCTCTGGGGCTGTCTTGGTGCGTCGGGAAGCCGACAAGGCGAGAATGCCAAAATCCTCAAAGACTTCGGAACATCGACGTCTTGTGCCCATTGGGGCTATCTTGGGGGTGCTCTTGGAGCCACCGGGAGGGGCGCCAACCTCCTTCGGGTATAGCCAAGACCCCAGGTAAGGGGGCCTGGTTAGTAGTAGGGCCCCGGAGCCCCGAAATTGGCCAGAATCATTAAACCAGGTCTGCCGTAGCTGGTGTTTGTTCGGGCGACGGCAGTTCCGGTTAGAGGAATGGGGCGGGGAAGGCGTCCCCCAGTACTCATCACTAAGCCAGGTCCCACTAAACCCAGTTCTGCCAATGCCCGACTCGTCAAGGCCGCCGCTCTTCGAAGGTCAAAGCGCCCGGCCGACAGCTGGCCTACAGAGCCGGCAGAGGTCTCCGATAACGCATCTGTGGATGCCACGTAAGAGCCTCTTATGATAAAGCAGATTTGGGGAAAAAGTAGAGCAGCATCAAACACAGCATACTCGCGGGAGCTGCAACGACGACGTGAGCAACAATGTGAGGAGCATTCGCAGCATCAGCAAGAACCGCATCAACTACGTTCTGGCAAGAAGAAGAAGAAGCACATCAACAGTTCAACACAGTTCTCAAAACAACAGTCATCACAACACAACAACCACATGGACAGCAACGACGGCATGAGCAGCAGTCGCACCACGACCACACCAACAGGACAACCACATGAACAGCAACGACGACCTGAACACTAGCCGCCTCATGAGCAGCAGTGACGACACTAGCAGCAACCACCTCAGCGGCAACCGCGTCAGCAAAGTAGTAAGTAATAACGAGCAGCAACCACATCAGCAAAGCCGGCAAAGGTCTCTAATCACGAATTCTTTGTGTACCGTGTGCGACCCCCTTCTGCTGCTAAAACATGTTCGGGGAAACATTGGGCTCTTAGAGGCATTGTGTGATGTTTCCAGAGCCCCCCTGAAAGCCCTCTTGAGGTTCACCGTAGCCTTCTCCAATCGCCTGGAGCACAAGCACGGGACTACGTATCAATACCACATCGGTTTCTTACCCGCCTTTTGTTTGGCTTATTGCATGTTCGTGACTCCCAATGACATGTTTGGGCCGCCCTGGGATCTCGGTCCCCTGTCACTCTTGCGATATCTTGCGGCCATTTTGGGCCCGTTGTTTTTCTGTCTTGGCGCCGTCTTGGGGCAGCAGACGGCGCTGGACAACAAAGTTTGGTGGTCCATGTTCCAGGGGGCATGGCAAGGTTCATCGTCACTACACATTGCAGATGCCCAGAAGCCCTACAATGACTGACAGTCGTTCTACTGTGGCCCAGTGTGCCGCATGAGCGATGGCGGAATACATCTCGAAGTGGCGCATAAATTGTGAAACACATGCGTTGAAAACTGACAGCTCTTGGTTAGCGCCGGGAGCAGCAGCGGCACGGGCAGTTCTAGCCGCAGCACGCCGAAAGGGCCACGCAGCACTCATGCCAGTCTGAACGCATGCTCGGTTTGGGGCCAAGCGCGTGGCCGATGCGCCTTCGTCGTCATGCCTGCCTGACCGGCATCGCGGGTGCTTGCTCGCCTCTCGCGAGCTTGCCGCTCGCCGCGCGGCGCTCGCGCAGCCGTGGCTCCGCGCGCGCTGCCGCGGGCTCGGCGAGCGGCCGCTGCCGCCGCCGGCCGGCCCGCGGCCGGGCGGGGCCTCCCGATGCGGGGCGCGGCCCGCTCCAGCGCGGCCGCTCCGCCCTCGGCCGCGCTCGGCGGCCGAGCGGCCCGTCGGGCGCCCGCGCCGCCGAGCCGCCGCGGGCGCCGGCGCGCGGGGGTGCGCCGCAGCGGCCGAGCGGCCCGACCGCTGGCGCCGAGGGCTCGGCGGCGGTGCTGCTCGCAGGGGCGGCGCGGGCGGGGGCCGCAGCGCCGCGCCCGCGCCGCCCCGGGCGGCGGCGGGTCGGCGGCGCGGCTGGCGCAGGGCGTCGCGGCAGCCCGCGAGCAAGGGAGGAGGCGAGCGAGGGGAGCGGCGAGCTGGAGGCGCGGGGCGTGGTGGCCTCCGTGTGCGGCCGCGCGGGCTCGTCGCTGGAGGGCGTGGAGCTGCGCATGCGCGACGGGAGGGCGCTCCAGTACGGCTCGACGGAGGGTGGTGCGGCTCTGGGGCCGTGGACGTTGCAGCCGGACGAGCTGCTGATTGCCGTGGAGCAGCACACGGACCCCTATTCGGGGCGGTCGATGGTCTTCGAGACTTCGCGGGGCAACGTCTTCGGCCTGAAGGGCAGCGGAGTGCCAGAGATGGCCCTCGTCGCGGGGTGCAGCATGACGGAGTTCAACGGGTCGTACCTCAGGGATGGCACCGAGAACGGCATCCCCCGGTTCAGGCACGTGTCGCGCGCCGAGCTCACAATACATTTCGCTGCGGATGGTAGTTGGCTCATCAGCAAGGACTACAGCGAGTGGGAGTGGCTCTACAGATCCAGCGACGGATCCTCTTGGACGGCGAGCGAGCGAGCCGACTTCCAGGAGCGGCTGCTCATCGTCAATATTAACGCCCGGCGTCATTTCATGCCAGGGTGTTTGGTCACCGTGCACGGCCAAGCAGGCAGGTTGCATTCAGGGCCCGACGCGGAAGAGGACTACCAGGTACAGTACGAGGACGGGTCGTTGTCTGGCTACCTGAAGGAGTGGGCCATGCAGCTCTGCGAGGTGCAGACCCAGCGCTTCGAAGCCCCCGAAGGCTCGCAGATCTGCGGGCTCATGCTCGATGGCTCGGCGCTGATGCAGGTGCGGACGTGCTCCGCGAGCTGTGCCGCGGCCGAGAGGTTGAGGCTCGAGGACCGTAGACGCGCTAATGGTGTGTTAGCTAACAGCGCTGTAGGACAGTCAATTGTAGGAAGGCGTGGTCCGTGGCCAAGCAAATTGCAGGAACGCGTGGCACGTGCTTCCCTACAACTTGCTGTGCCGTTTTTGTTTTCGTTCGATGCATTCGCATATCTGGCATGTAGGAACAAAACGGTGTTCCGTGGTTTCCTGCATTCTGTTCTGCGTGAGCTCGTTGCCACAAAGACCAGATTTCCCAACCGCACCGTTAACCAAGCATTAAGTCGGGCCTGTCCCCCTACAGGGGGAATATTCAAAAATAGTAAAACAATAGTCGGGGGAGCATTGTTTGAGTCTGTAGGGGCATCTTTTGAGCATTTCTGGAGTTTTTTTTAAAAAAAAAATTGTTCGTCCAAAATCCCCCTCTAGGAGGACTGGCCCGACCTGATCCAAGCACGCCGCTGGCGCGGCCTTGGCCAGGAGCAGGTGCGGCGCTCCGCCTCGAGGCGGCTCGCGGAGCTGCGGGCCGCTGCGGCCGCGACCCCTCCGGCGCCCGAGGGCGCGCCGCGGCTGCCCCTGCGGGCGGCCCACGGGGTGCTGACGGAGGGCCTCGTGGAGCGGTCGGTGGAGGCCAAGCTGCTGCTCCTGGGCATCGTGGGGGCCGAGCACGTACTGCTCGTCGGGCCGCCGGGCACCGCCAAGAGCCTGCTCTCCCGGCGGCTGTCGCGCGCCTGCGGGGGCGCGTACTTCGAGAGGCTGCTCACCCGCTTCACGGTGCCGGAGGAGGTGCTAGGGCCGCTGTCCCTGAAGGCGCTGGAGCGGGACGAGCTCCGCAGGAAGGTGAAGGGGTTCCTGCCGGCCGCCGAGGTGGCCTTCCTCGACGAGGTCTTCAAGGCGAACTCGGCCATCCTGAACGCGCTGCTCACGCTGCTCAACGAGCGCGCCTTCGACAACGGCGACGCTCGTGAGCAGACCCCGCTCCAGTGCGTGGTGGCCGCGTCGAACGAGCTGCCGGAGACCGACGAGCTCGACGCGCTGTACGACCGCTTCCTCCTGCGCCGCGAGGTCCGCCACATGTCCCAGGCGGCCGTGCCGGACTTCCTGCAGCGCCTCCTTGGCCCGCAGACAGTGGTGGTAGGGCTTCGGGCTGCCTGGGCTGCTCGCAGACAGCCTCCCCCCCCCAGGTGGTCTCAGCAGGCCTCTACATGCCCCCCGCCCCCGAGTATTCCAGGGCGGTCTCAACATCCCAACCCTGGGGCGCGGAGCGCCCCATGTGGTGCCGCTGGAGGCAGCGGCAGGGTGGCAAGACCGCCCCGGACTACTCGGGGGCCCTGTTGAAGCTTGCCGGTGGCACCTGGGGGGGCTGCCTTTGTGTAGTCTTAAGTCGGGCCTGTCCCTCTCCAGGAGGAGTATTTTAAGAAATAGTCAAACAGATTCTACAATGTTTGAGTTTTTGGGGAGATGTTTTGAGTATTGTGAAGGCCTTAGGGCCGGTGCGGCCGACCCTGAAGACGACGAAGATGAAAGGGAGGGGTGGTGGTGCAGGGGGAGGAGGAGGAGTGGCAGGAGGAGGAGGAGGAGGAGGAGGAGGAGGAGGAGGAAGGGGTATGTCGGTCGATCTATTCTCGTCTGTTGTCTCCTTTCGCTGCGGCTTATCCTGCCTGAGAGGGGGATGAGGATGAGGAGGAGAAGGAAGAGGAGGAGAGGCAGGAGGCGGAGAAAGAGGATGGAAAAAGAGGAGCAGGAGGAGGAGGAACAATAAGGAGGATGAAGAGAAGAGAAGGAATAGGGAGAACAGGGAGGCCAGGAGGAGGAGGCGGAGGAGGAGCATCAGGAAGACGAGGAGGACCAACAAACACGAGGAGGAAAAGGAGAAGGAGGATAATGAGGAGGAGGGAAAGGAGGAGAGGAAGGCGGATGTGTATGATTAGTAGGAGTATTCGTAGTAGTAGTAGTAGTAGTAGTAGTAGTAGTAGTAGTAGTAGTAGTAGTAGTAGTAGTAGTAGTAGTAGTAGTAGTAGTAGTAGTAGTAGTAGTAGTAGTAGTAGTAGTAGTAGTAGTAGTAGTAGTAGTAGTAGTAGTAGTAGTAGTAGTAGTAGTAGTAGTAGTAGTAGTAGTAGTAGTAGTAGTAGTAGTAGTAGTAGTAGTAGTAGTAGTAGTAGTAGTAGTAGTAGTAGTAGTAGTAGTAGTAGTAGTAGTAGTAGTAGTAGTAGTAGTAGTAGTAGTAGTAGTAGTAGTAGTAGTAGTAGTAGTAGTAGTAGTAGTAGTAGTAGTAGTAGTAGTAGAGTAGTAGTAGTAAGTAGGAGTAGTAGGAGTAGGAGTAGTAGTAGTAGTAGTAGTAGTAGTAGTAGTAGTTGTTGTTGTAGTAGTAGTTGTAGTTGGAGTAGTAGAAGGAGAAGAAGAAGAAGAAGAAGAAGAAGAAGAAGAAGAAGAAGAAGAAGGAGCAGGAGGAGGAGGAGGAGGGGGACAGATGATGATGATGAGGAGTAGGAGGAGGAGGAGGACGAGGAGGAGGAGGAGGAGGAGGAGGGGATGAGCCTCTTGGAGCCGTGGTCGGGGTGTTCTTGGAAAGCGCCTGGGACGTCTAGGAGGCTTCTTGGATCGTCTTGGGGCCATCTTGGCCGTGCTGGGCCGATCTTTGAGTGTCACGGCGCTCTTGTGGGCATTCTTGGGAGCTATTTTCGGCATTCGGGTTTTTTTGGGGGCTGTTCGATATGTCGGGGCCGCCCGGGGGAATCCGAAGCTGGGTGGCGACCACCCCTGGGACCCCCCTCCGGAAGGGTTCAAAGGGAAGGGGCTTCCCTTCGACTCCAATACGGCGTTGTACAATTTCGCTTTGGATGGCCCGCTTGAGGAGGGCCCAGGGAAAGGCACGGGGGACGACGACGAAGTCGACGAGTAGACGACGGAGACGAGAACTTGAACGAAGAAGCCCCTCGCACACGCCGACAGGGTCGGCGGATTCTTAATTTTTCGTCCAAGATCCGCCTGTGGGAGGACACGCCCGACCTAAGTTTGAGTCGGGCCTGTCCCTCTACAGGAGGGATATTCAAAAAGAGTCAAACAAGTCGTCTGGGGACTATTGATTGACTCTTTGGGAGCATGTTGGAAGTATTTGTTTGAGTATTTGTAATGTTTCGCCCGACATCCCCCTGTAGGGGGACAGGCCCGACTTAAACCTAAGTGTAATCTAGGGCTGTCTCAACACTTTGGCGCCGCCTCTGGCGATGTCCCTGGGGCGTTCGGGGGTCGAGACAGCCGCCCTGGGGCTCCTCGGGAGGCCTGCCGCTGCCGGCCCGGACCCCACTGGGGGGGGGGGCTTGGGCTGCCCGTGCGCAGAGCCCGACACTTCGTTGCGCACGACCTCCGGCACTCGCGCACAAGCATAGCAGGCTCTGAGCTCGGTTCCCCTTTCCCCCCGCGCCCCGGAGGAGCAAGGAGCGAGGAGCGAGGAGGAGCGAGGAGGAGCGAGGAGGAGGAGGAGCGAGGAGAGGAGCGAGGAGCGATGAGCGAGGAGCGAGGGGCGAGGAGGAGCGATGTGGAGCGAGGAGGAGGAGGAGCGAGGAGAGGCGCTTCGGTGCCCCGATTCGCCTCGGAAGCACTCCCCCGTCGCTCGAGCGCCGCTTCAATCAGGCAGCCGCGGACCGCCTGGGGAGGGAGGGCCTGGTGCCACTCTGCGCGCAGCCCGAGGCCTTACCAGACGGCGGCCGCCACCAGCGAGGGCACTCCGCCGCTGCTCGCCGCGGCCGGCCTCCGCGCCGTGCGCGCGGCGGCCGCGGGGGTGGCCTTCCCCGAGCGCCTGCAGCGCCAGGTGGCAGGCCTGCGGGAGCACCTGCGGGCGCTGGACCCGCCCGTGGCCATCTCCGACCGGCGCATGGCGCAGGTTTGCGTCTCCGACCCGCCATGGGACGTGCGCGTCTTGTTCTCGGCGGGGACCATCGAGGGGCATCCCAGATCGCCCCGCAACAGACAGAAGTACGCTCGAGACCAGGACGTGCACGCGGTATGGGCGCCTGAGCGATGGCAAGAAGCTCGACCAGACGTAAGAGTGACCTTTCGCCGGAGTGACCTTCCACGCAGAGGCACATGTTTTAGCAGCAGGAGGAGGAGGAGGAGGAGGAGGAGCAGGAGGAGGAGGAGGAGTCTTGCCCAGGGTCACTCTTGCGTGTAGTCGAAAGGAGGCACCGATACCGCAGGCACCGACGCCGCTGCGCTTGCCTCGTTCTCGCCTTTTTGGGCCTCCTGGGAGGTCCTCGTCGCCACCATTGGATTCGACTTGAAATTCTTGTCAGACCGCACCCCCAGGAGAGGTCTAAGGAGTAGCGGAGTCGGTACTTCCCCCCCCTCCCATCGGCCTTCCAGATGGGGTCCGAGGAGATGATGTCGAAGGATATCGCGCCGCATCGCCGAGGCATTGGCGGTGCGGCTCGATGTGGAGCCCGATGTTCTCCACGTCGGCGGCGCCGATGCATCGGCGATGCGTCGCGATCCTACGGCCTCATCTGCTCGGGCCCCGTCTGGGAGGTCTCTGGCACAGGCCTGCCTCCTCGTGCGCGCCGCCGCGTGCGCCGTGGGCGCCACCTCCGTGCTCGAGTTCGACCTGTGGCTCCTGCGCTTCATCTCGGGTCGTGCGAACAGAGGGAGGCTACAGTCAACCCGCATAAGAAGGATGGGCAACCTTCCCAAGGACACCCCTGCATCCAGGCCCCTTCGGCCCATCCTTGGCCACTGTCTCTGGCCGTGCCCCGCTCGAAAGGCATCGACATGGCCCTCCAGGGCCCTTGCATCCCTATCGCGCCTCCCTCCTGTACGGGTTGACTGTATAGTGGAGGCAACGGAAGTGGGCCCTCGGCGGGCCCCCGCGTCGCCGCGGCGGGACGCAGCTCGGGAGGCTGGCGCGTCGGGGCTCCAGGCGGGGCCCGGGGACCGACTCTGAGCTGCCGCTGTCTCGACTCGCCCTGCTCCGAGATAGGTTAGGTCGGGCCTGTCCCCCCCCCACAGGGGGATGTTGGACGAGCTATGGAACACAACAAAAAAAGCTCCCCAAATGCTCAAAAAATGATTACAGAAATAGTCCCCAGACTGTTGTTGACTACTTTTGAATTTTCCTCCTGTAGAGGAACAGGCCCGACTTCGACTTTGAGAGTTGCCGCTGTCTCGACGCGCCGTGCTCCGAGACAGGGGAGCCCGTGGGGTGCGCGAGAGCTGCTGCGTGCGGCCGGTCTTTGGGCCCCGCCGCGGGGCGCGTCCGAGAGGGGGAAAAGCACACAGGCACAGTTTCACCGTCGACTCCCCAGGCATCTGTGGGGCGATATGGGCGGGGGGGGAAGACGATAATCCAGAACATATGGGAAGAATATGGGGAATCCTGTTATTTGTGCCATTTAATTGGATCGCTTCGCTCATTCCGCTGGCCCGTGGGGGCCTCTTGGGGGCCTCTTGGAGCCTCTTGGGGGCCTCTTGGGGGCGTCTTGGGGGCCTCCTGAGGGCTCTTGGGGGCCTCTTGGGGCCTCTTAGGGGCCTCTTGGGGCTTCCTGGAGGCCTCTCAGGACCGAGGGCTCGAAACCTTGTTTCGTGCTCCCCCTCTGGGGCCGCTCTTGGGGCGCTCTAGGAGTCCTCTTGGGCCGTCTTGGAGGCCTCTTGGGCCGTCTTGGAGGCCTCTCGGGCCGTCTTGGGGCCCTCTTGGGGGCCTCTCGGGCCCTCTTGGGGCGATCTTGGGGGCCTCTTGGGCCGTCTTGGGGCGTCGGGAAGCCGAAAAGGTGGAAACACCACAATCTTTCCAAAACATGAGGAAGAGCAATGATTGTTGCATCTTGGGGCCCTCTTGAGAGTGCTCTTGGAGGCCTCTTGGGGCGTCTGGGGGCCATCTTGGGCGTCTTGGAGCGATCTTGTGGCATCTTCGAGCCCTCTTGTATTATCTTGGGTGCCTCTTGGAGTTCTCTTGACCCTTCTTGGGGCTCTCTGGAGGGTCTCGAGGGCGGCGCCCAGACGGAAAACCACTGCCGGGGTACTTTTCCTCTGGGGACCCCCAAGGGCCGCCCCCCGCGCGCGAAGTAGAAGAAGAAATACTATAAAGCAGTTACCGGAGATCTTAGCACGCCTCTGGCCCGTTGGGCCGGCGAATTTGTGTGTCCCAGGCCCCCCTCATCGCTGCGCTGGCGCCTCCAGCGCCCGGGAGGCGCCGTGGAAACCAGCTACGCGAGCTGATGCGCAACACCTCACCCCTTCACCACCCCGCTCTGCGCGCGACCCGATCATCTTCTGGGACAAGGACCCCGAGCAGGCGGCCGAGGTGGAGATGTGGCTGCTGCAGCACTGCACAGGGGTCCGAGACCACGACACCGAGCAGGCGAGGTACATGCTGGAGTCTGCGAAGGGGAGGATCGGCACGGCCATGGGGGACGAGACGATCAAGCTTCTGGAGGGGATACTGGAGAAGCAGCTCACCTCGCAGCTCGAGATGCTCGCTAGCCTGCAGCGCCAGTTCGCGATCGCGCCTGATGGCCAGCATTCCAGTGTCCGTCAGTTCTGGTGGGAAGAGCGCGACCTTGCAGAGGTGGGCCCCCACTTGATCGCAGAGGTCGAGCGCGCCCTCGCAGCAACCGAGGCTCTGCTCCGAGAGGTGCTGGAGTTACGCATGGCGCTGGAGATCAAGAGCCCGAGCCTGAGGAAGGCTTGTGTGGAGCAGCTCCTGTCGGGCATACCGCTGGGATCCGGCTCTTCTGCCGGAGCCGGCGCCACTTCCGAGGACGCAAATATCCTCGGCCTCAACATCGCCTGAGGTCACCCGCTGTCAGGGGCTGCGCCTGCCTCCGTGCGAGGCCAGGCCTTTGCTTCCGCCTGCCAGGCGCTGGAGAAGACAACCCCGCATTGTCAGGCATCATCGGCATCGCCGCTGCCGCCGCTGCCGCCGCCGCCGTCCTCGTCCCCCTCCTCTTCCTCTTCTGCAGCCAGGGTGGGCCGAGCCAGACCGTGTTCGTGAATCGGCTGCCCGTGACGCTGCTGCTGGTGCTTCGAGCTGTATTCTGCTGCACTCTGTTCCTGCTGGCGGGAGGCCTGCACCACGAATGCCTCCCCATCTTCCTTGGCCCCTCCCGCTCTCGGGTATATGCCCGCTTGCGCCTCCGATCCCGTCTGCCGGCATTTTCGTTATGATCTTATTTCATGGCTTCGCTCATTCTGCCTGCACACCTTGCATCACTGGCGCTAATGTCGGTGTGCTCGTGGCGAGCGAGGAGGGGGAGGAGGAGGAGGAGGAGGAGGAGGAGGAGGAGGAGGAGGAGGAGGTGGTGGTGGAGGAGGAGGTGGAGGAGGAGGTGGAGGAGGAGGTGGAGGAGGAGGAGGAGGAGGAAGAAGAAGAAGAAGAAGATGATAGGATGTTGCTGAGGGTTCTCGATGGCTGCTTGGGGCATTCTTAGGGCACCTCGTTGGGAGCCTTCTGGGGGTCTCTTGGGCGGCCTCTCGGCGGCCGCTTAGCGCTATTTCTGGCACCTCCAGGGGCCTCTTGGGGCCTCTTGGGGAGTCTTTTGCGCCTCAGGCGGCCTCTTGGGTGCTTCTTGGGGGCCTGCTGGCCGTCTCGGAGGCCATCTTTCGGGAATGGGCACGTGTCAGTTAGGATTCTGCTCTTGGGGCCCTCTTGGGAGCCTCTGGAACACTCTCCGGAGGCCTGTTGGGCCGTTCTGAGGTCCTGTTCGGCTGAGCGAGCCTCTTGGGCTGACTTGGGGCGATCGTAGGAGAGTCTCTTGGGTCTCTCGGGCCGTCTTGAGCGATCGGAAGATGGAAAAGTCACAAAAGGGACAACCCTTCAAGCGTCGAAGGAACATCTATGAATTCTACTTCGGAACATTTATGAATTTAGCTTCGGGGCTGCTTTTGGGGTTGTCTTGGGTCATATTGGAGGTGTCTTGAAGCCTTTTGGGCTTTTCTTGGGGCTATTTTTGGGCCTGCTTCCCATGGATCTCGACTGGAATACCCTCTTGGAGCTCTGTTTGGCTCCATTGATGCGCTCCTGGACCGCTCTTGCGGGTCCGGGAGACCGCCATTGGGAGTTCCTGCATCGTTGAGCCCACCTTGCCGGGACCTTGCAGAGATAGTTTTCGTCCGGAGACCCTCCCGGGGCTGCTCCACGCGCACGGATTAGGAAGTGTTCGCAACCTGTTCCCAGAAATCTTAGCACGCCTCTGGCCCGTTGGGCCTGCACGTTGACGGCCATGCTTGCTAATGCGCGGGGGAGACGTTGATGTGCGCCGCTCTCCGTTCTGTGCCGCCGCAGCCCCTCTTTGTGCTGACACTGGGCGCGGTGCCTGCGGCTTCTCGTGTAGCACCAGTTCGTGCTGCTGCGCCTGGCTGTCCGCGCGACGCGATACCTGCCCAGCATCTTGTTCCACCCTGTCGTCTAAGCTGCACTGGATTGCTTTCAGTTCGTGGCCACGCACGTCCGCGGACGTGGATGCTCAATGTGTGGTCTCACTGCCCGTTTGGTTTGCCAGCGTTGTTTTGTACAGAACTGACGGCTTGGATTCGGAGCGCAGCAGGTCTTTCAGTGCATTTGG